TCATCTGGTCTTTTGCTTAGTACTATAAACCCCTACAACTCCCTTCCCCTTCCTCCACTCCTTGCTTCGTAGACCGAGTTTCAGTTATTACCATGTAAAATGTACACTTTGCCTTATAAAAACCCGTAGTGAGTTCCCTATTTATGAAGCTGATGCTTAGGTAAAGGCGTATTAGGAGCATCAGAAGTAGCATCACTAACATCAGAAACCTACAACAACAACTGTCCGGGCGGTCCTGGCATTCACGATATATGTACCCTGTTTCTTTATTAGCAGTTTGAATGTCGTACAAGTCCTATTTTTTTATCGTGCAAATACAGCAATCAATCAGTTTGTAAGACCACCTGAAGATGAGTTATTGTGCCCTCTTTTCCCGCAAAAATTCATTATTTGAGCATTTTTGACACATCTGGTAATGGAAAATGATAAAAAAAAAAAAATGACGGATTTACCTTCCAACCGGCGTCCGTCTGCGTTGACGGTGGCCTTCCAAGTACCATCAGTTTGTCGTTTTCATGAAAATTAAAAGATGACAGTGGTGCTGAATCCTCAGCGGCCAAAGTACGGCCTAAAAATGTCATTTCTTTATACCTCGAAGAAACCGTGCTCTCATACATCTTATATTTGTCTAACAAGTCATTTGGGCTCATTAGTACATAATCGGACGGGGAGCATCCCCGTAAAATTTCACCTCCCTAGCTTTTCTGGTTTGCGAGTTAGCAGCTTATCCGTAAAAAACTTCGGCGAGCTCTTACGTGAGTATCACGCGGGAAAGACAGCCCATTTTGGGAACAGGGGCCCGTACGTGCATGTAGATTAAGTCCCCAAAGTTTTAGCCCTGTAGCCTTTGTAGGTCTCGAGATGAGAAATCGGTACAGAGGTCCTGCGCACACACAGACACACACACACAAACACACACAGACAACCTCTCATCAATATGCGTTTTACGCACTGCATAGCTGCAAAAAATGCATAAAAAAGATGCCACGAACCTCTGTGGATAATTTTCATTGTTGTTTCCGGAGTAAACTCACACAAACGACAAAGTTCTTCCTTGAGCGCACCAAACGTTGAAATTTTTTTCACATCCCCTGTGGTAGCAATAGCAACGGTAGAAGAAGCGGTAGATGCAGTATCAGCAGCAGTAGAAGCAGCAGTAGCACCAGCAGCAGCAGCAGTAGCAGCAGCACCGTCGGCAGCTTCAGTATCGCCGTGATCAGATTCTTTCAAAGCTAGAAATAATTTTTGATAGAAAATTCAATTTTTTTTAAGCAAAGGAGGGGGGATGAGTGGGGTCAGGATTTTAAGTATATTATATAAGGTCAGG